GATGAGATGCTCCACACTCAATTTGAACTAAGCAGTTTATATTTTTCCCAATTGTCGATTGCTCGGTTTTTCCACAGCGCTACTTTTTTTTCGCCGACTTTATTTTTCGGTTGGTGTATTTTCAACTCAGTCCCCTAACCAATCAAAACTGTCTACTTTTTTAGCAAATGTTTATTTTTTCATTCATTTTCTCGTCAAACTAAATGTTCTCATGTATTCAGTTGCAACTGACATTTCAATCAATAGTTTTTTTTATCGGCTTTTTTCGGGTGTGTGATTAGGTGTTTGTTTGAAATGTTGTTGGGTTTTTTTTTCGAATGTGTTTATCTATTGGTTTCAATGTTCTGGTTTTCGTACTGGGAATTTTTCGTTCTTTTTTTGTTGTTGTTGTTGAAACACACGGCAAATTTTCTCATGCCATTGCAGGTCCAAGAGTCACTTAAACTTTCTGTAGCCAAAATAAATTCACAATAGCTGGCACATACACAAATGCTGCTGCTGTTGCAGAAGGACACCGATAAAAGCATCACCACAACCACTGGCACCAGCACCGAGTCAATAGCAATTGTTCGAATATGTGTTGTGTGCTCGCGAAATTGCTTTTTTGATTCGATTTGTGTATATGCCTTGTGTCCGATGGAACATTAGATGTTGGCGAAATACAACAGAGAAATTTTTGCTGGTGGTTTTGCGTTCCGAAAACAGTCATTTATTTTTATTCCCTTGGAAACATACTGTCACTTCGATTGTCCGACTTTAGTTCTTCGGCCTTGCCTGGCAGGCAAGAACCAGACTCTCGCTTTCACTCACAACAAAAAAGCGAAATTAAATTTTCAGTCCATTTTTCACACTGTGCGCTACCAAACGAGGCGACATTCGAATAAAGCAACAGAGCGAGCGCGAGTGGAAGAGAAGAAGGAAAAAAAACCGTCCAGCGAAAAAAAAAATTGCAAAAGTTTTGATTATTTCCACCTTCACTTAATTTTGTATTTTTTCTTTATTCATTTGGAACGTGAGAACACCATATAGAGAACACGACTCATCGAAATCCATTGTAAATCGACCACAATAGGTCCGATTGAAGTACAACTTCAATTGGTAATTCAATTTATTGAATGAAGAGCTCACGCCGAAGCTAATGTACTCTACTCTACTTTTTTTTCTATTCCGTTGACTTCACACTTGTTTACTTGTTTTGCCGATTTGATTTCTCGCAAAATCACTTTATTTTTTTTCTCACTTGATTTTTCATTCGATCCTTTTTTTATTCTTTAACTTCCCGGCGCAATGATGCGATGCGTTTCACTTAATCAAAATTACGTACGAGATTTTGTGATTGATTTGTGTGTATGAAGATGCTTAGTAAAATATGGCAGAGTCGAACCGCACTTTCGGTATTTGTGTGCTTTCGGCTCTTTCGTTCAACTTGACGGAAAAATGGCTAAAAAACGTTCGCACTGTCACCAGTTCCCAAACGTACTGTAGCACAACCAACTGTACCGATTGCCTCGAAGCTCGGGGTAAACGAAAAAATTCGGTGTGTATGCCACTCCACTCTATAGTTCGTCGTCGTCGTCGTCGTTGTCGTCGTTCGCGGCAACAGTACAGCAGCACTTTTCATTCATTTGAACGAAAACGATATGGTTCGGTATGTTGCGGTGGATGAACATAGCATTTGTTGGAAAAATATGCGACGCAAGTTATCGTATAGATACCGAATCATTGACGATCGTTGAATCCGATTGTTGCGACTGCAATGGAGAAACTGCTGCTGCTGCTCCTGCTGCTGCTGCTGCTTCTGCTAGCAAGCAGCGCTTAATCGTTCACTAGAGGGAAATTTGTAAAGGGGAAAAATGTGCTACGGCAATACCGTGCAACATGATGCCAAGGCATGTGCTATGAATGCCACTCGAACTCTCTATCACTTCTTGTTTTTATGTCGGGAGCGCATGCAGTGCATGGATCCTGCTCCTGCTGCTGCTGCTGCTGCTGCTGCTGTCGTCGTATCCATTTCGGCTTAGACACAGTAACGGAATGCCATTTTTAAACCGTACACGCTCTCTCGTCCGCCTCGTACGTTCAGTCTCTTCTGCTCCCTTTGAGTTCATTCAGACTCCTCCGCATATACACACAATCAATGACAGGCTCAAGCAATTCATCACCAAGCATTTCTCACTCAATGTAGTCAAATACGATGCGTTCACGGTTGAATGTACGAGGCAAACACAAAGAGATAGCATAACACGACCGCGCATCAAGTATCATTATTGTTTCCACTCGGTTTAAGTTTGAATTCTTTTTTTTCTCTATCTCTATTTCTTACTCTCTCTCTCTCGCGCGCTCTCTTGCTTTCGATCGTCTTTGTACGGCTTTTTCATTCTATATTTCGGTTTTTAGCTACAATTTTTTTTTCATTCGCTTCTCTCATTCTTATATGCATGCCGTACATTTTGTTTGTGTGGGTATGTACCTTCTTTCGAAACTACAACGGTCGCACATCATCTTGCATGCTATTCCACATTCCGCAAAATTGCACTACTCTCTCACATTAGCTTCTGACCTACTGCCGTGTTATTTTGATTGTGCCATGACTTTTTACCGTACACGCTTGTTCGCATACGCATCATCCTTGTTTACTATTTGCGAAAAAATTTCAGAAGATGAAACAGGTTTGCTTTCTTTTTATTTAATCGTTTGGCTCCATTATTGCAAAAGCCAGTACACATTGATGTTGATTATTAGTAGAATAAGTCGAATGGCTCATGTTCTTATTATCATTTGGTAAGGTATTTAAAATGGATTCAGTGTCGTTTATTCGTGTTAGTTGTTGCGTTTTTTAGCACTACATGAAATTTAGAGCTACTAATATGCTGTTTTTTCGTCTTAATACTTTTTGACTACTGAAACAAATTATGGTGAATTTGAATTTTATGCTCATATTTTTTATTTAATTTAACCTTCAAACCGTGAAACCTATTTTCTAACGTTGTTCGTGAAACCGGTGCCTGAGTGCCCATAATGCATTTTAAAGGGAAATGTTAGTTTTTTCTTGAATTTTTATTTTTAAATGTAAATATTTCAGTATTTATTGATCGGAAAAGTAAGAAAATCACTTTGAAATGTGATAAAAGTCATAAAAAATCGAAATATGAAAGACAACAGCAAGTTTTTTGGAATTTTTTTTTAATAAAGTGGAGATTGCAATGTTGATCTCTTCACAAAAATGAAGGCAAAAACATGTACCTACAAATTCCACTATGGCCGATTTTGACGTCAAAAATTGAGATTTTGAACGGCAGGTTGGATCAAAAAGTTATGTATATCACTAGAAAGGTCTTGAAAAGTAGATTCCATTTTTGATATAAAACTTCAAAATAGGCCGGCATTTGGCCAATATTTGGTCGTTGGAATTTTTTGGCCAAAATTGATAAAATGGCCATATTTTGATAAAATGATGATCGATTTTGATGTTTTATAGCTCAAATTACATGTACTTTTCAAGATCTTTCCAGTGATGCATATTTCATAGTTCCCACATTAAATTTTATACGCAATTTGTCGAAAAATGTATATGGGCACTCAGGCACCCATTTCACGTATAGCGCATCACACATGTTTACGCGCATATGTGGTAAGCTAGTGCACGTATGTGGGTATGTTAACCTAATTTTTATAGCCAAATGTTCAACGAATCGAACCATAGTTATTTCATTAATTTATGATAAGAAATAATTAAGTTTTAAACATTCAAAGTTGGTTTTGGGCACACAGTGCCCATTTCACGGTTTGAAGGTTAAAACAGTGGCAGTAACGACAAATAAGTGCATAATATCTCGAAGCGCCAATCAAATTTTTATGATAAAATGTTTTTTTTTAAATTAACATTATTTCAAGCTTTTTTCGTACAGTATTTTCTGGGTCTTGAACAGAATTAAAGTGATTTTGGATCTATCCTCATATTATTTATCTAATTTAAACCTAAGGGGAACTATCATTTTTTTTATCGAAAAAATTCATTAATTTCGGTATGTTTTAGGAGATATTCACTCCTTTTCACAGATATTCGGTGTTTCTTATTTTGACAGTTCAGCCGTTCTCACCAGCCGCCATCTTGGATTTTTTTTAAATCTAAATTTATTCACGTATATTCACAATATTTTCGAAAATTCTATAAGAAAATATCTATAATATTCAAAAATATTCACAAAAATTCACTGTTTTAAAATTCGAATGAAGCCCCTAGATTTAAACCAAAGGCAGTATATTTCAAAAAAGAATTAAAACGAAAATCTTGTAATTCATTTTTGAAATAACTGAGTTTTTTTCTTTACTTTGTTGCAAATAAATATATTACTTCAAAGTTACTTTGATGAAATACATTTCATGCAGTGCACCAAAAAATAGTTTGTTGTGAAACAACAAAATAGAATACGTAACTTAAAACTCAAGAACGCAGAGCGGAGCGAAGCGATGCAGGAATCACTTCATTATAAATGTTGAAGTTTTCGTACAAATGAATTAGTACCGCCACCTTCAGTAACTCGCGCGAAAACCGACATAGTGCAGCATAGCACACCAATACCGACACAACAAACCACACGCACACAGACACGAATGATATTTCGTTATAATCTGTTTTGAATGCTGTCGCTGTTATTCTCGGTAAATCTTTGCGAAACTCACTAGAGGCGCTACTAGTATGCAATAGCTTGACTGTTCAACAACTAATACATTATAAGTGTATAAGGGTGCAGTCACACTAGGAAACATGGATTGGAAACATGTTTCCAGTTCCCCATAAGATTTTGCTCTGCGGTCTTGTTTTTCTTTGCTCTGTGAGAAATTGGAAGTTGATGTGATACAAGAATATTCGCCGTTTTCTTCCATGATTTCAAAACCAAAATTTCAATGAACGTCTCCTTTTTTGGATGTGTGTGTTTGTCTCGGCAATAAATCTCTAGAGTCGCATAGCTTTCATGCGATCAAACTTGCGTTCCTTTTACATTTTCTTTTTTCTCAGTTGCCCAACGACAACGACGACGACGGTAAATAGACTTTTCTTAAGAATTTTTTCTGATTTCAGCCAATTGATTGCCATAGGACCTTCCCCAAAATGAATACATATGTGTGTTGTTGCGTCTCTTCGAACAACGCAAAACCATGACGCCGGTGCTAGAGAGAAAATTTATTGAAATTTCTATCTATTTGCTTGATCTCCCTTTTACTTCGCTTCACTCGTGCTTTTTTCGTCGTTCTCATTTCTTCTTGTTCCTCTTTCCAGTGTTGTGTTGTTGTTGCTGTTGTTGTCGCTATTGCAACTTGAATTCGAGTCAAAAGTTACAAACCGCCATTGCGATGATACATTTTCAAATAGGTGTCACGAGCGGTGTATGTGTGTGTGTGCATGTGCGATGTGCTCTCTCCTCTCTTTTGCCTCATTCGCTTGAACCGTATGCCAAAAGCCAAAAATCCTATCTGAAATTAAAATAGAAAAATACGGATGTGTCTCTCACAAGTCCAATGGTGACATTTTCATTTCTTGGAACACGCGATGCCGATTCCGTGTTGAATTCCGGGATTGAGAGTGTGGGTGAGTGAGTACTGTGCGGATATGTTGCTGCTGTGTGTTCGTATGTAAGGCAGAAGTGTCGAGCGTACATCGAATTGAATGTGCACATTATAAGTGGCGTGAATTCGGTTTCTTTTTGGCAAACGTGCCTAATTTTTTTGTTCACTTCTCTTCTTTTGCCAATGAGCTTTTCTCTGTAAATGGAACCGAACACCACTGTGTGTTGAGTGAGAGAGAGAAAGAGAGTTATGGCGGTTCACGCGCACGAACCAAAGGTATCTCTATCTCAAAGCGGTAGCATCAACAGTAGCAGCAGCAGCGACAGCAAAGGAGTACGCGCGCACACATCACCATACCCGATTGCAGTTACAATTGATGTATAGTAGCTTTGTGCTCGGTCATAAACACATGAATAAATAAAACCAAATAAAAATCTACACACATTCCTTTTCATAGCGAAAGTTCGTTGATTTTCTGTCTCTATTGCTCGCTTAGTATCTTTCTCGCTCTCTTTTGACGGAAATCAAGAGGAGCGCACTTACTGTTTTCACTTAATACACAAAACTATACCATACATTGTGTGCATGAGAGGCGGCAGTAGAAGCAGCATGGGGATTTTTTCGTTTCAACAGTGAGTTTATAGCATAGCATCGTTTACCGTGAGCATCACATATGATGAGAAATCGTGCGCGCAATCAAGTTTGAAGATACAAATGAGCTTTCGTATTTCATTTCGTTTCGCTTTTTTATGACCAAATAGAATATAGATTGAGATAGATATAAAGTCGACGTGAGTGTTTGTGTTTCTCGCTCGGTGTGTGTGTGTGTGTATGTGTGAATGTATGTGTGTGTGTGTGTGTGCGTTCAGTGTATTTTCTATTCTCTGGGCTTTTGGTTGCTGAGATGCA